ATTGATGACAAAATTCCTTGTTTCTATATAGGCACCAAAATATCAACATGCAACTCATATACCTACATGGTGGTGAGTATTATGAGAAAGAAAAAACCCATGGGAATTTTATAGTGAGCCACAAAGTAGACAGCGCAGGAGAGAGAAGCTGAGAAGCTGGAGGCAAGCAGAAAAGTTGACGCAAACTGTAATTGACTCTCAAGGCCATGATGAGCTGAGAGACCCTACGAGCTGCATACTACAGGCTCCCAGCCAGACCTGTGCTACTTTAGGATCTCTGCATGAGGCAACAAGCTGGCTTCTGTGTCTTCAGGTGCTCCAGTGTCAGGCAGACAAATTCCTGATGGTGACATGTCTAACTGTTCTCCTAAATTATCCTTGCTGAATGAAGAAGCAGGTCCCTACTTTCTAGCTGGAGTCGAGGAATGGAGTTTAGTTGTTTCAACTCTAGGTGGAACCATAAATGTAGAGAGAGAAGGAAGGGCAGAAGACAGGAAAATTGACGTTTGACTAACTTCTGTGTTGTTCAGTTGCATTTATGCACATTTTTTCTTAACCATCATGAACCCTATATAGGCACCAAAGTAAAGGATAAGAAACAGGTGTAGAGAACTGACTCTTCCATGTCACTACAGTTACTAAAAAGAAAATCAATGTTACAGTCATTATCTATGTAACTGGAAGGGCCATTCCATTTCTACTCTGTTGCCTAGAAGGACAAGTTTGATGGATAGAAATTGAAAGAAGAAACCATCATAAATGTTTATCAGCCTAGTAAATCTCTGTATTCCTAGGCTTAAGAAATAGAAATGGAAAAACTCCTTAAAATAACAAGAATGACACAATAACAGGACTGTTGTCATTGAATGTGGCACCCGTGGTTATAGTGAAAAAATAGATTGATGGGAATCATGGTGTAGCATAGGGGCAAGGATACCTGTAGCACTCGAGGATATCCAAGGAGCAATAACTAGGGATTTCTGAAACATAGGACAGATACCTACATCAACAATGTGAATTCAAAGGGTTTTACCACAGTACTAAGATGGAACTAAGAGCAAAGGTGTGAATGAGATTGTCCAAGAAAAAATGCAAATGAGGTGATTGAGAATAAAACTTGAGTTAAAATTCTTAAAAATCTAAAGCAGTAGGAAGAGGACCACCATAAATCAAATCCACAAAACTAGAAGGAGGGATGATTGCTAAGGAAAAATGGTCACATTAAATAACAGCTGCAAGTAAATTCAAGAGTTCATAGAATCTGGCAGTTAAGATATTTCAGGAGTCTGTGGGAGAGCTTCATCATGTTACTTAAGGAACTGAGTATGTCTTAGGCTGGGTTCCTTGGAAACAGACTGAGCTGAAGATGTATGTAGGAGGATTATTGTGTAGCACTGGGTACAGAAAAATTGAACTACACTTCTTGATAACAAAGGCCTCAACGGAGCCTAGGAGTAGCACTGAAGCTGGGGAAACCCTTCAGAATCATGCCAAGGGGACAGTGGTGTGGTGAAGTGGGTAAAGCTGCTGCCTGCAGTGCCAGCATCTCCTGTGTGTGCTGGTTCGAGTCCTGGCTGCTCCACTTCTGATCCAGCTCTGGACTATGGCTTGGGAAAGCAGTAGAAGTTGCCCCAAGTCCTTGGGCCCCCGCACCCACATGGGAGACCCTGAAGAAGCTCCTGGCTTCCAGTTGGTGCAGCTCCGGCCATTGCAGCCATCTGACAAGTAAACCAGTGGATGGAAGACTTTCTCTCTCTGCCTCTGCCTCTCTGTGACTCTGCCTTTTAAATTAAAAAAAAACAACAACAAACAAACAAAAAAACATGCCAAAATGAGGCAAGGCAGCTGGGCCTTTAAACCAGCATGAGTCAGTAATTTAAAGTATGTGTCCTGGGTGAGATAATCCCTTCAACAAAAAGCAGTACCAAGAGAAGGATGCACCTGTGAGCCTCCCAGCCACTGTTGGGAGAAAGAGTATTTCCATCTCACAAGGTGATCTAGTCCAGTCAGCACTTCACTGCATCCCAGGAAAGAGTGGAGAAAATGAATGTGAAAGCTAGGCTGCTATTTTAAATACTTTGCTGTAGGGGACTTTTATTGTTGCAGCCACTGATTTTCTCTCCGGAATTCTTCCCCACCACCATCTTCTTGCCAGCTCAGTTCCTGTACTGACAAATTTTTCTAATTAGATGCTTTGTATTCTCCAATTAACTAGTTTTCTTATCTTATACTGTTCTTATTGAGTTATTCCTCTCAGCTTATTTGTACCACAAGGGACAATGTAAGTCTGAGGGGATTCCTACAGTCCTTGTTAACATGTACTATGTGAACAATAACTATATCTTATGGAATGAATGGTCCTAAATCAATCATCATTAAAAATAAAGTTTTCTATGGAATCTCTAAGTAAAAGAATTTAGAAATTACAAACCAAGACTTGAGATATCATTCAAGGCTCTGACTGAATTGAAGAGTCTAGTTCCACATATTTTATATGAATCTTTATATTCCTTTAGAAGATAACACTCAACAAATAGGCTGTAATTATAAATATGAAATCTTACCACAGTCTCATGGTATTTATATAGAAATAGGTTAAACAAAAGCTGTTGGTCATTTTGGAAATTATTAAGTTATGGCTACTCTATGTGTGAAATGCTGTAAAAATAATTCCCAGGAAGAATTTGAGTCAACATGCACTTACATCATCAGATCAGCCATGTTTACCACCCTTGATCTTCATAGTCCATGTAGGTTCTTAATATAACATCAACCAGCTTTGAGAATCACTGGGGATATGGGTTTACTGGTAGTTTCATTACTTTTACTCAAAATATCTAGGACCACATTTTAATTTCTCTCTTAAATTCTGAATAAAATAGTATTTATGATGTATTGGTGTCAGGTGTTTGGTAAGCATTGAAGTTCTATACTAAATCCCCATTTAATCAAAAACAACAAATAAATAAATAAAAGCAGAAGCATGTAACAGCTTTATTGGAGACTGTTTAGAAAGAGGCAGCTCTGTTCTTGCTTTGGAAATATCATATAAACACCAAAAAAAAAATCCCATCTGTCCAATTGCCTGGAGAATGTATTTAACAAGAAATGGAGCTACATTAAAGGCCACAAAATATGCAGCAAGGGAAGAATGAATAAAGCCACCCTGCAGTTCATTGAATGCACCTACTGTGCAGTATACTCCCTGTGAACAGGACAGATTGTGTAGTTATCGCTACATCAAAATATCTGCTATTGTGGAGAGTAAGAGAATTGGAAAGAGAATACTGGACCCAAATACCAGATCCCTCCATGAGCATTAGCCAAGGAAATGTGAAAATTAATTACATTTCATTTTAAGAGAACACATCATCTTTTCCTATTAGGAAAAGAAAAACCACAACTTAGTTACAATCAAGGAGCCTGAAACTCCATTAATATTCTTATCAATTTGGCAATGAAAGAAGTGAACCTTGACAAAAAGTTGTGCAGCTATGCTCACGGGAAGAGAAATAAATGACAAAAGGGTTGGCTGATAAACTGGATAATGTCAATTATATAAGCTCACTAATGTTTTACCAAAATTTAAAAGCAGCACAGAAAAATAGGACTCCTTTAGAGGATGCTGACAGAAAATAAACTTCTCCTTACTTAGCCCTCTGAAGAAAGACATGATAAAGGAAATTTAGACATCCTTACAAAGGTAGTTTTTTGCTTGGTTTGTACTTTTGAAAGGTATTCAGTTTGCTGTCAAATAACAAATTGGAAAAATGTTATCTGGGACAAAATGTTCAATGTCACTTTTATTGAAAGTGGTTCCATCTGGGAATCTTAGCAAATCTATCCAAAAATTGTCTGTTGATGCATTTTAAGAAAGAAAATAACATCAGATGATCTGAGCAGTTTATAAGCATTTACAAAATACAAGCTACACTAGTAAAAGATCTTACTTGGTAGCAAGAAGTTATTTAATAATTTCAGGTAAAACATAAAAATGTCCTTTCTGTTGTAACTAAGTTTTCTCACTTTATATAGAAAAAAATAAGATTTTTATTACTGACTAGCTGATGTATTTAAAGCAGTAGACAAAAGCAACTTGTTTGAGCTACCATATATTGGCTATGACACTATTCTTCCAGCCATTTAGTGCTTAGAAAATGTAGTAAAATAGCAAACAGTCTCACAATAAAAAATATAATCTGCAAGAATAATTCCAACTCAATACTAATAATAGTAATCAAATTTTTAAGATACTGATGTTATTTTAAAAGGTCTGGAGCATAACTTCAAGGGAAAAAGGGCAGTTGATGTGCAGTTAAGTCACCATTCAAGACACACATGTCATTTCAGAGTGCCTGGGATTGAGTCCCCCATCTGCTTCCAATCTTGCTTCCTATAATGCACCTGAGAGGCAGCAGATGATGACCCAATGGATTTCTACCACCATGTGGGAGATTCAGATGAAGTCCATGGCTCCTGGCTTTGGCCTGTCCCAATCCTGGCTATTGCATCCATTTGACTACTGAACCAGAGGGAAGAGTTCTCTCTCTCCCTCCCTCTTCCTCCCTCCCTCCCTCCTTCCCTCCATTCCTCCTTCCCTTCCTCCTTTTCAAGTTATATATATATAATATTTATATTAAATATAAAATATATTAAAATTATATTTAACATATAATATGTATCAACTATATATTTAACATAATATATAAATATATTTAATATACATAATATATGATATATAATATGTGTTATATATATTTTATTTATTTATTAATATATTTAATATATTTATAAAATATTAAATGGATGAAGAATGATATGGATGAAGAAGATTGGGCTGTAATAAACATGCTCATTTGAAGATATGTGTTTACTAACATATAAGATATTCTTCCACACAGCAAACCAATTTAATACTTTAGATATAAAACATAAAACGTTTGTATGGTTGACAAGGATTCCATACAATTCTGAAGAAACGAGACCTAGTCAGTGGATCAGAAAGTAATCAAGAGGCTCTCTAGCAGCTAAATGGTAAAAAGACTATGTAATTCCTAGGGAAGATTCCAATAGAGAAGGTGACCTAGATGTATTTTTGTAGAATAGATAATTTAAAGGAAAAAATTGAACATCTTTTGTTGTTGTTATTTTATCTATTTAAGATATGAAATTAGAGAATCACAGAAATGGAGACCAATGTATTCCATTTCCAGATGAGGACATTACAAAAAAAGAAAAAAAGGTGATTTGACTCAGATCATGTGGCTGTTAAGTGGCAGGACTGAGACTGGAATTCAGGTCTCCTGTTGGCTAATCCAAGCCCTTGAATGGTACTCTGGCAAGTTTCCTGATGATACTTGATGTTCCCTGTTAGACATGCAATTAAGCTTATAATTGGTCCTTGTTCCACTTCTCTGTGAACATGACTTTCTTCAGATTCTGTGAAATGGTACATTATTCACCTAGGGACAAAGAAGAGAGTGTGAAATTAATGCAAGAAAGTAATTTTATTTAAGTTGTGCATAAAACAAGGATAGTAATATGATTTGACTATTTGTTATTTTCAGCTCATGTTCCCTTATTGCATTAACTGAGCATCTGATTTATAGATGTTAGGTACAAATGCCTCCCAATTTGCATTTATTTTTGAAGAATGATAGAAAACTTGTTGTAAATGGGGGCCTCGTCTGGTAATAATTTCAGGTTTAGTCTGAATTTTAGTGTTAATATATCATGCACAGTACTACTGTTCTATAAATTATCAATTCTTTGCTAACACTGAGAAGTTTTCCATTTATTTCTCCACATTACACCTGTTTTTATACAGGAAAGCAGTGTCTTTGCTAAAATTGTCATCTTGTTCTAAGGTATTTAGCTTTTACGTATCAGATTATGCATTTAGAGAAGATGGTTTGTGTCTCAGAAATCAGCCCATCATGCTTTCTTATTATTGTTAATTACACTGAAATATACAAAGCATTTCAGCTAGGATTAGGATCTCTTGTCACAGTGTTTAGGTGATCATAAAAATTAGTTTGAGTCGGTCAAGTGGTACTCTTCTTTGTAATAAAAGATATTGTAAAAGTTGGAGCTGCACGTAAAATGGTATAAATTTCGGGAGATTAAGATTTGGAATGCCACTCATGTTTATCAAAAATCTAAGTTCCTGTTTAAATTTTCTTTGTTTCTATTAATTTTTTATCTTATTACTAATCCAAATGCAATCATTGTAGAAAAGTTAGAAAAATATAAACACTTATGCATCCTCTATGACAAGAATGTATTCTGAGAAATACATTCTTAGTTTCTTTTGAGCACTTGTGCTGACACAAAGATTTGCAATGTCACTAGATAATGTTATCTTATGAACAACCATTGTAAAATGGTCTATTGGCTCAAACATTGTTATGAAGCACTGACTGTAGTCAAGATAAAGAAAACTTAAAGTACCCATGAGCAATATTAAACCTCATAGCAACCCCTATTCAAGTACAATTACCTCTGTATGAACACTTTTTATACCTGTTATACACACATATTCACATATGAGAAGGGATCAATCTGAATATGCAATTTGTTTAAGATTTTTTGCCTCTTATTAAGCATGATACTTTTTATAATTAAAAATAATCAGTTATAATTTAAAAATAGTAATATATTGATGTTATCGGAATATTATCTTTGAATAAATCAGTTCTGTATAAACTAGATTAGAATTAATATAAAGGAAACATAAAACTTCTAAAATAAATTTTATTTCTATATTTAAGTCATATATATTAAGATAAATATAAAGTGAAATGGTTACTGTGGTGAAAGAAATGAACATAGCCATCATCTTAGATAGTTCCTGCCCAACCTACCCCTCCCATGGCAAGACCAGTAAATCCACTCATTTAGTAAAAATTCTGAATGTATTTTTTTTTTTATTTTACAGATAGAGTTATTCAGTGAGATAGAGAGAGACAGAGAGAAAGGTCATCCTTCCATTGGTTCACTCCCCAAATGGCTGCTTTGGCTGGAGCTGTGGCGATCCAAAACCAGGAGCCAGGTGCTTCTTCCTGGTCTCTCACATAGGTGCAGATGCCCAAGCACTTGAGCCATCCTCCACTGCCTTCCTGGGCCACAGCAGAGAGCTGGAGTGGAAGAGGAACAACTGGGACTAGAACCCAGCACCCATATGAGATGCCAGTGCCACAGGCAGAGGATTAACCAAGTGAGCCATGGCGCCGGCCCTGAATGTATTATTTTTAACTGTAGTCTTCATGTTCTACATTAGATCTCTGAACTTATTTTCACATAGTTGCTGTTTTGTATACTTAACCTGAATCTCCCTGTTTTCACTCTGCCACCCTCTGTGTGTGGTAACCCCTTAAATTCTGAATCTCTGTGTATTTGAGCATATAAGAGGGATTTCACATATAAATGAGATTGTGCAATACGTTTCCTTTCACATCTGGCTTATTTCACTTAGCATAATGTCCTGTAAGTCTGTCCATGTTTTGGCAAATGACAGGATCTCCTTTTGTAAGGTTGAATAACATTATTTTCACACACACATAAATACGCACACACACACTTCACACTTTCTTTACTATTCACCTGTTGATGAGTCATTAGTTGTTTCCATACCCTGCCTATTGTGAATAATGCTACACCCTGTGTAGGAATGCAGATATCTTTATGAGGTAATGAGTTTACTTCTTTTGGATATGTACCTGAAAGACGAATTACTACATCATATTGAAGTTTTATTTTAAATTGCTTTGAGCCTACATGATATTTTCCATAATGAATAAACCAATTTACATTGCTACCAACAATACAGTGGGTTTCTTTTTCTTTATACCCTTCTCAATATTTGTTATCTACTGTCCTTTGATAATAGGCTTCCTAAAGGATATGAAAAGACATTTTATTTTACGGTGGTTTTCATTTGCATTTCTGTGTTGATTCCTAATGTTGAGCATTTTTCCAAATGCATGCCACACATTTGTATATCTTCTCTGGAGAAAGGTATGTTTGGGTCCTTTGCTCATTTTAAAATCATATGACTTACTGTTCTGCTGTTGAATTCTAAGAGTACTTTATGAATTTTAGCTGTTAACTTCTTATTAGGTATGTGATTTTCAAGTCTTTTCTCCTAGTTAATAGATTGTTTTTTTTTCCATTTTGCTCATAATTTCCTTTGCTGCTCAGAAATTCTTAGCTTGATGTAATCAATTTATTTTTTATTTTATAGCCTAAGATTTTAGTATGATAGCCAAAAACCCTTACCCAGGCCAATGTCAAGAAGGCCTTCCCCTAAATTCTCTTTTAGGAGTTTCATGATCAGGAGTCTTTTATCCATTTGTAGTACACTTTTGTTTAGGGTGTAAGATAAAGGTTCAAATTCATGTTTTTGCATGTAGAAAACCAGTTTTTCCAGTATCATATATTGGAGAGACAATATGTTCCCAACTGTGTCCTCTTTGTGCCCTTGTCAAAATTTCTTTGATCATGTAAGTTTGGATTCATATCTTGGCTCTCTATTCCATTGGTCTGTATTTCTCTTTGTGTTAGTACCACATAATGGCTTTTTAATTTAATTTTGTTGGAATGGATAATGTTTCAACTTTATTCTCCATATTCCTTTGACTATTGGGGTGTGTGTGTGTGTGTGTGTGTGTACATAGTTTCCATATGAATTTTAGGAACTTTGCTTCTATTTCTGTGAAGACTGTCACTGGGATTTTGATAAGAACTCCTTAAGTCTGTGTATTGGTTTCAATAGTAGAGACATCTTAACAATATTAATTATTCTCTTCCTAGAGTACAGTGTATTTCCATTTATTTGTATCATCTTTAATTTTTCATCAGTGCTTCATAGTTTTCAATGTACAAATCCTTAATCTCCTCGGATAATTTTATTCTTAACTATTTTTTATGCTTTCATAGTGGGATTGTTTTCTTGACTTTTTTTGGTAGGTCATTATTGGCATAAAGAAACACTAATGATTTTCGTAGGTTGAGTCTGTATCCTACAACTTTATTTAATTCATTTCTTTGTTTCAGCAGTTCTTTTTGTGAAGTCTTTGAGGTTTTTCTACATATAGAATCATTCATCTTAAAATTGAGATTGTTTTAATTCTTCCTTCTCAATTTGGATACATTTTATATTTTTTTCTTGTCTGATTACTCTTGCTGGTATTTCCAGTACTATGTTGAATAGAACTAGTGAAAGTAGGCATCCCTGTTTTGTCCCAGATTTCAGTGGAAAGTTTCTGGGTGTTTTCTGTTGGTTAATTTAACTGTGGGTTTTCATAAATGCCCTTTATTATGCTAAGAACTTTCCTCTTATATGAGGATACCTCAAAAATCTTGGGGGTAGACATTGTGGTCCAATAGTTAAGCCACCATTTGGGATGCCAGTATCCCATTTCAGAGTGCAAGGTCAAGTACAGGCTACTCTGCTTTTGATCCAGCTCCCTGCTAATGCACATGGGGGAAAAGCAGATGATGGCTCAAGTTTTTGAGTCCCTGCTACCTGCATAGAAGACCTGGATGAAGCTCCTGTCGCGTGACTACAACATGACCCAGCTCCAGCTGTTAAGGGCATTTGGGGAGTGAACCAATCAGTAGAAGATCTTTTTTTCTCTCTCTCTCACCCTCCTGCCTTTCCTTCCCCCCAGCTCTCTCCCTCTCTCTCTCTGTTTCTCCTTCTTGCTCTGGCACATTGCCTTTCAAATAAATAAATATTTTTTTAAAGTTTGTGAGAAATTTTAATTGAAAATAAGTTTATTTTGGTGTAAAGAAATTTTGAAATATGTGTATTTTTTCACAATATATGTTTTCCTTGAAGTTTTTAAAGGCACCTCATACCAAAAATGCTAAGAATTTTTATCAGGAAATAACACTGAACTCAGATACTTGTTCTGCATTAATTGAGATGATCATGAGATTATGTTCCTCCTTCTGTTAATGTGATGTAACAAACTGATTGATTTTCATATATTCAATCAGCCTGGCATGCCAGGGATAAACCCTACTTGGTCATCTGGGGCCAGCACAGCAAGCAAAGCTGCTGTATGCAATGCCAGCATTCATCGTATTTACAAGTTCAAGTCCTAGAGACTCTGTTTCCTGTCCAACTGGGTAAGCAGGTGAGGGTGACCTAAGTACTTTGGCCTTTGCCAACCACATGTCAGACCCAGATCTCCAGGCTCCTGGCTTCAACCTGGATCAGTCACAGCTGTTCCTGCCTTTTGGGGAGCAAACCATCAGATGAAAGATTCTCTCTTTCTCTCTCTCTCACTCTATCCCTGCTTCAAGTAAATAAACAAATCTTTAAAAATATATCCCACTCAGTCATCATATATCATATATAATTTTGTATGTGTAGTTGAATTTGTATGCTAATATTTTATTGAGTATTTTTACATAGATGTTCATCAGAAAAAGAAGTTTATATTTTTCTATAATTGTGGTGTCTTTATTTGGTTTATGTGGAAAGCTAATGCTTGCCTTATACAATGTATCTGGAAGTATTCCCTTTAGCTCTGTTTTTGAGAAAAGTTTAACAAATATTAGTAATAAATCTTCTTTAAATGTTTGGTGGATTTCAGCTATGAAGTCCTCTGGTACTGAGCTTTGCTTTGTTGGATAGAAAATTCTCTCTCTCTCTCTCTCTCTATACATATATATATATATATATATGTATGTATGTGTGTGTGTGTATTTATATTGCTAAGCTTTGATTCTTCTTTCCTTTCTTGTTAGTGTTATCTGCTGAAATGTTTTAATTTTTGTTTCCATGGGCTTACATAAGCAATCTTTTTTAAAGAAAGATTTATTTATTTTATTTGAAAGGCAGAATTATAAACAGATGAGAGACAGAGAAAGAGAGAGGCCAGGGTTGGGCCAAGCTAAAGCCAAGAGCTTCTGGGTCTCCCACATGAGTGGCAGAGGCACAACTTGGGCCATCTTCTGCTTTCCTAGGGTCACTAGCAGGGAACTTGGTCTCAAGTAGAGAAGGCAGGACTGGAACTGCTACCCATATGCTCTGCTTGTGTCACAGGCAGTGGTTTAATCTGCTACAACACAACGCTAGGACCAACATAAAAGTTTTATAGTCCTTCTAGACTGTTTTAAGCTGATGGCAGTTTTGTTCACATTCAAATGCTCTAGACATTTACTCTCCTCCCCACAATTTATGAGTATTTTTGTTGCCACAATTTAAATCTTTTTATAATGCATATTTCTTTCTTTTTTTTTTTTTTTTTTGATAGAGTGGACAGTAAGAGAGAGAGACAGAGAGAAAGGTCATCCTTTGCCGTTGGTTCACTCTCCAATGGCCGCCACGGCCAGCGCGCTGCGGCCGGCGCACTGCGCTGATCCAATGGCAGGAGCCAGGTACTTATCCTGGTCTCCCATGGGGTGCAGGGCCCAAGTACTTGGGCCATCCTCCACTGCACTCCCTGGCCACAGCAGAGAGCTGGCCTGGAAGAGGGGCAACTGGGACAGAATCCGGCGCCCCAGCCGGGACTAGAACCTGGTGTGCCGGCGCCACAAGGCAGAGGATTAGCCTAGTGAGCCGCGGCGCCTGCCTATAATGCATATTTCTTAACAACTTATTGTACCTGTAGCTATTTTTACACTTACCCTTCATTCTAAAGATGTGAAAGATTTACACCACCACACTTGCAATATTGAGCATTCTGAATTTAATTACACATTGACTTCTACCAGTGAGTTTTATACCTCATATGTTTTCATGATAGTATTAATAATCCTTTTGCTTCCAGTTGAGGCACTTCCTTAAGCATTGCTCATAAAGTTTATGTAGCAGTAATGACTTTCTTCAGCTTTTGCTTATCTAGGAAAGACTGTCATTTTGAAAGATACTCTTTTAGGAATAGTGTTCTTGAATGGATCCTTCAATACTTTGAACACATTATTCTCTGATGGCTTGCAAGAGAAATCCATAGAGAGTCAAATGAGCATTCCTTCATTTGTGATTTGATGCTTTGTTTTTGGTGCTTTAGAATCATCTCTTTCTCATTGACTTGACTGTGATGTGCTTACACTCTTTGGATGGAGCCTCTTTGGAATACTTTGAGCTGCATGGATTGGTATGCCCATATCTCGCTCAAACCTGGAAAAATTTCAATTATTTCATTAAGTAATCTTTCTGTTACTTTCTCCTTCTCTTCTCCCTCTAGACCTCCCATACTGCAAATATTTGTTCTGTTAATAGTGTTCCGAATCCCATAAGCTTTTTCCATGCTTTTTAAAATGTTTTCTCACTCACTAGGCTTGTTCAAAAGGCATGTATTCAAATTCATATGCTCTTTCTTCTCCTTGATCTAGTCTGCTATTGAATTTATGGATTGTGTTATTTGTTTCATTCACTGAATGAAGCATCTGTCTCTTTGAATTTCTCATTTAGATCTGTTTTTACTTTTCACTGAATTGTCTACCTAGAATCTCTTGTATCTTGCTGAATTTTCTCAAGACCATTATTTTCAGTTCTTTTCCATTGAGTTCAGTAGCTTTCTGGTGAAAGCACTTTTGTTACTTTTGTGTGTGTGTCTGTGTATGTATGTGCTCCCTTATGTTACTATCTGCTCATCTGGTGGGATAGTTGCCTCTTACAGTTTCATAGAGTGGTTTTCATAGGAAGGCTTTCACTGGCATATGAGTCATCCATGTCAGTCGGGTAGAATATGCTGGTGTTGCAGTATAGTGTGCATACAGCTTTTTTTTTTTTTTTTTTTTCTGACAGGCAGAGTGGACAGTGAGAGAGAGAGGCAGAGCAGAGAGAAAGCTTTTCCTTTACTGTTGGTTCACCCTCCAATGGCCGCTGTGGCCGGTGCACTGCGGCCGATGCACTGTGGCCGACACACCGCACTGATCCGAAGCCAGGAGCTAGGTGCTTCTCCTGGTCTCCCATGCGGGTGCAGGGCCCAAGCACTTGGGCCATCCTCCACTGCCTTCCTGGGCCACAGCAGAGAGCTGGACTGGAAGAGGGGCAACCGGGCACAGAATCTGGCGCCCTGACTGGGACTAGAACCAGGTATGCCGGCGCCGCAGGCGGAGGATTAGCCTATTGAGCCGCAGCACCAGCCTGTACAGCTTTTTCATCTGTTCAATGTCAGTGATGCTACTGGGTGCCTCAGTAGCCTAGACATTAGGAGCTTGTGGTAGTGGTGTTGGTATGGGTAAATTTTTAGAATTTTTTATGGCAAGGGCTTTAGAAAATCACTGTGTCCTCATTTCCTACACAGTTGGAAGACTTAGCTTATGGAATCTTTATTGGTATTGGGACTGACCCAGGCCATGTGAGTCACAGAAGCATTGTATTTCAGAGCAAAGGTGCTTAGAGTAGATGTGGGCCTGAGGTCTTGAGCTCAGTGTCTTGCTGAACTACAATGGACATGGGTTTATTTTTTTAGGCAAGGTGAATGTAGTTCTCCCATTAATCTAAGTACTGTGATTCCGAGGCATTCCCCAACAACTGGGTCCCAGAGGGAAATGATATGACGGTTACTGTGACCCTCCAGGTTGGGGTGTAGCATTGGAATGTCTCTGAGGATGAAGGGATGCTACAGATGTTTAAGCCCAGGGCACGGTGGTTGGACACAGCTATCAGTCAAGTTCCAGAGCCCATAGGACCCGTGCAGCTTGGGTACTACAAAAGAAGCTAGTTACTCTGGACCCTGGAGTAATGGGACCTAGCAGCCAATGGAGTCTGTAAGCCAAGTACAGTGGCAATAGGGACTCAGGAATGGTGGGGCAGAGTGTTACAGATCAGCCAAAGCTATGTTTTCCTGGGGAGGGACCATGGTGTCTGATGTTCACTTCTTTGCAGTCGACTAGGACTGCTATTACAAAGACTACCTGTGTAAAGCGGGAATTCTTACACAATCCCATTACCTTAAATATAGCCCAAATGAGCATCTTTAAACCACCTACAGACTATCTGCTTTGCATGCTCCACAAAACTTTACCCAACATCTGCTAGCCACAGATAAGATGAGCCCTGTGGCTACAAAAAACCGCAAGAGACTACTACCCTTGTTGCTTTCTGATCCAAACTCCCTCCACTGATGCTGAGCAGTGTCCCCTAGGCACAAGCATCTAACTCCCTGTTCCTCTAAAGTTCCTCCTTCTGTATGGTGGGCTCTGAAGGTCTGCCAGTGTGAGGGACTTCCCAGAACTCTTGCAAACCCATCCAAGTGCCATCCAATAAAGCTCATTATGCAATACTGCCATCTTGTGGTTATGTTTTTTTGGCCATCTTCAAAATCCTTGAATTCACCACAGTCTGCAGTTTTGAATCAAAGATCAAGAAACTGAGATTCTTTTAATAAACTGGACCTAGAGTTTATTTTCTTTCTTTTTTAAGGGAAGTGGTAAGAGGGAAAAAGGGCTTTGGTCTACGTTTATTTTACATCCCTGTGTAGGAAGGTTGGTTGTGTGCTCCCTTGGACTTGTCCAGTAGGAAATTTGATTGGAATAAACTGCCTTATGTTATTCCAGAGAATGACCTATCTTGTCTGGATTTTCTGGGAACTATTCTGGATGCCAGATGACAATTTCATCTATGTCTCACTGATACAACAGGAAAAGAAAAATATTTTGATTTCTGATAAGGAATTTTGCATTGGTTACTTCACTCAATCATAATAAAATATTCCTATTTGTTGGAAAGCCAAAATAAGGCTAATAGAACTAGTGACCAACTCGCAGGGGGAAGCTGGTATCAGAACCCTGATTGTGTAATTCCGTAGGCCATCCTTTGTCTTCTCATCATTCTGCTTCATCTGCTCCAAGGCTGGTATTCATCTGCAACTGAGTATTTATTCTGATGATGTTACAAGATTGCTTTCTTTTCATAAGAATACTTTTTCTGCAAAGTTTTATATTTTGCTTTATTTTCCAAGTGTGAATTCAATGAATATCTTATATAATTGAAATCTGGAATTCTTGAAAACAAAAAGCTTACCTTAAATTGTCTTTCTGTGTTTTTGCTTATTGTAAGAAGTGTTAGTTTTTTCAGAGTGCTGCTGTTTGAACCAGTTGTTTATGGAGAATGAATAGCATTTCTGTGAAAGAGAAAGAAGAAAAATAGTTATTTTTGTTTGAAAACAGCACACTGATGGGTCTGTCCATTGTAAAGGCAAGGCCTCCCAGGAGTGGTTTACATGAGAAATAAGACACAGAAAGATCTGGACTGCTTTACTTAATAAACTGCCAGGAGTTACAAATTTGAGTCTTGGCAGCTTGAGGAGAAAAAAACTTAAGTGGACCCTGGAGACTCTGAAAAATGTAGATATGCAGTAAGAAGTTCTTGAAGGACTCTTAAGAGCTTGGAGACAAACAGGACCTAGGAAGAAATGACCAAGTGAGAAACCCCTTAGAGATGAAACCCATGCAGTTGTTATGGCAAATGTAGCAGTTTTTAGAATCTGTATCTAATATAAAATTTCTGTTTTGAACAATAAAAAGAGATTAAGGGACTTGACTAAGAGCATGATAGTGGTAGCTGGTCACCATGGCAACCAGAGGTGAAAAGATGCTGATGGGAAAGAACACTGTTGAGATAAAGGTCAGATTTGTATATAAAGGCCATAGAGAAAGAAAATCAAGTTGCTTTTTCCATATATTCTTTTCTAACTTGGAAAAGGAAAGATAGAAAGATAGGCACCAGCTAGGAAATACCATAATATATATCATATAGTTTTCCCTGGCCTTGATGGCAGATGGCAGAAGGCAGGCCACGATAAGGGTAAGCACAATAATTAAAGGAATTAGTCGTAGAGAGAACAGAACAGCCATGGGGCTTTCAGCAGGCCCACTGTAAGCCCAGGAATGCAGGAGAAGAAAAGCTTCCCACCAACCAAGGATCAGAACAGCTTGCAGCCATCGTTCTCCCGCTAAGCCTGCTTAGCAGCTACAGGAAGATTTAAACTTTACAATCTCAGAAAAGATACAGCATCAAAGAGCACAAGATTGTAGAAAGATTGGGAGCTCACGTTTAGAAAATTAATTGATTTGACTCTAGGCCTTTGGGTGCATTTTTTCCAACTACTCTGAATAGTATTTACATTTTTATTATTAAAGGAGAAGTTGGCTATTTAGTGGATTGACTGGGCAATTTACTGGTTAATTGTGCTAGGTAATTTACATCTCATTTAATTTAGTGCAGAGATTATTAAAGATATAAAGTCATATTTTTACTAAAACAAGTTTAATATGTGTACAATAGTGGCTATATGCTCACATGTAAATTTTTTAAGATGTCAGCAAAGACACCAATTGATAGTTTTTTCTAGTCAACAAAGAATTATCATTAGATATACTTGACAGATTGATAGTAAAAATATCCTTGTCATCTAGTTAGAATCTGTTTTCATCACTAGCCATGGTTCAGAGATATGAGCAGCATCAAAGATTGTAATGCAGAGAGCAACCAAATGGAAGAAAGAAGCAAGAGATAAGAAGTTACAGGCTCTACTGTAGATTTGGTTGGCTTTCTACAAAGAGGAAAAGGAGTTCATTGACTTATGGTGGCCAAGCAGACCAAGGATTTTTGTACTAGCCTGCTATGGCTGCTGCTATCTTTTGTATGGAGCTTGTTCCCTTTGAGACTCATGCTGAAATTTGATACCCAGTGTAAAACTGTTGAGAGGTGGCAGGGCCATTAAGAGAAAATTAAAAGATTAATGCCTTTCTCTGAAGACTGAGTTCTTGCTCTCAAAGGCCTGAATTAGCTCCACAAGAGCTGGTTGTTATAAAACAAATTTGACTTTCTTGGGTTGTTGTCGCTGCTTCTGTCAACATGTGACTGTTTCATACATTCCTGCTTGCTTTTTCTGTCTTTCCATCATGCATGGAGCAGCATGAGACCATCAGCAGAAGCCAAGAAGATGCTAGTGCCATGGTCTTGGAATCATGATTCCATATAAATCTCTTATCTCTATGAATTACCAAATCTTGAGTACTCTATTACAGCAACAGAAAGCAGGATAAGACAGCTTGCCATAACGAGAGAAAGCAGATGAGGTGGGTTAAATAATATAAATGTATTTTCTTATACCTCTGGAGGCTGACAGTGGAAGATCAAGGTGACAGCATGGTTTTCTGCTGAGACCTCTCAACTTGGCTTGCGGATGCTCCCTTCTCATTCTGTGCTCACATGGTCTTTACTCTGTGCATGCACATCATTGATGTCCCATCTTCTCATATAAAGACACTTCCTATTGGTTTTGGGCCCTACTCTAATGAACTCATTTAATTCCCTCTATAAAGGCCCCATTTCCAAATACAGTAACATGGGAATTAGGCTTCAGTATGTGAATTTTAGTGCGCACATAATTTGATCTGTAACAATTGCCAATGGCCAAAAACAGAGGAGACTAGTCGAAGTAGTCATTTACACAGCAAACATTTATCAGGTATCAACCGTGTGTCACATGCTGCACCAGGCAGGAGAGGAGCTGCCTTAATAAAAGGCAGACATGGACATCATTCTGCAGGTTAGTGGGAAGGGAATCATTTAGACATGAGTGATGCAGGAGCATTTAGCAGGTGCTCTCAATCTATTGCCAGATAAAACACAGATTACCCAGTTGCGTTCAAATTTCAAATATCAGGATAATTTTTCAATATAGGCATGTCCCAAATATTGTATGGAGCCTACTTATACAACTCACTGTTTATCTCAAATTCAAATCTAACTGACTATCCTTGGAGTTTTGTTGCTTGATTGGTTTGAGGTTTTATTATTTTTATGTGTTTATTATTTATTAAATCTGGAAATCATAAAATCCAGTCCTGGAACGTCAGGAAAGCTGCACAGAGGTGTAACCTGAGAACTAGGGGAGTAAAAGCAGGAAAACAAAAAGGAACTGGAAGAAAACAAAAAAAAAATGGTGGGCAAAAGAGAAAAGCTAGAGATCAGTAGTGAAGGAAGGGATTACCAAAAAACAGTATAGATGAGAGCCAACGATGTAAATCGAACACTTGCCAAGGATTAGCTGCAGAAACAGAGCAGAGACATGCCTGGAGATGAAGGAAAGAACTACCAACTCTGAGCAAGTAAAGGAGATTGATGAGCTCTGACCAGCCAATCCTTGAATCTTGCTAATTGTAGCCCTTAGCCATTTAGTTCGTTCGTTCGTTAGTTGGTTCTTTAATAAACTCACTTTTCTCTTCACTCCCTGTGACCCTCAGGAGGCACCATATGGGTTTCCCAACCTTTTTCAAACTCTTCTCCACAGAACAGCAAGATTCAAATTAATATCTGATCAGATCCTTCCCCCACTTCATCTGGTTTAAGTCAATACACATTTGAAAAGCCAATGGAGTTTTTAACATAATACTGAAAGAATAAGATCACAAATACAGGAACAGGTGATTGGCATGATGGTTAAGCTGCTGCTTGGGATGCCAGTCTCCTGTATCAGAGTGCCTTGGTTCCAGTTCTGGTTCTATTCTGAATCCAGCTTCCTGCATGCTGGAAGGCAGCATAGAATGGTCCAGGTACTGGGGTTCCGTCCATCCATACAGGAGACCTAGATTGAGTTCCAGCCTCCTACCATTGGCCAGGGCATCTGGGGAATGAGGCAGTGGGTGATAGATTCATTCTCCCTCTTTCTCTCTCCCCTGCCTCCCCGTGTGTACGTGTGTGCGCATGTGTGTCTGCCTTTGAAATAAATAAGACTTTTTCCAACTAGACTAATATACAACCATATGTATATGTGTGTGTTTCTTCATGGTATGTGACATAAAAACTCAGAAGGAAAACTGTTTAAAATCTTGACAGATTCTAAATTAGAAGCAGAACTAGGTATGCAAAATAATTAGAATCATATGAATCACTTCTGATAAATATATGAATAATTCCAGTCAAAAATTATTTCACCTATGAAAAACTAAACGTGAAATAGTTTAAGGCACTTACTGGTTTGCATCAGGATTAAAGTGCTGGTTTCCTGACATCTTAATATGGCATATATTTATAACCATGGTGCTTGATACAAGTTATATATAATTAACAAAATATTGTCTGTGAAAATATATTTCTAAAACAATAATTTTAAAACTAAAATGTATTTCTGTACAAAATTATTTCATGTCATCTTATATATTTTATTTTGGTGTATATAATGTTTTGAGGTTTGATAGTCATTGCAAGATATTTGTATGTGAGGGGGCCGTGTATAGATATATTTTGAGATATTTCAGTAACCAGACATTAATAATCTGGGGATATGAGACTCATTTATTTGATAATACCAAATTCTGCACTAGCACAGTCAACCATTTTCAAATTAAAGAAGAAAAATAAGGTGACTGTTAGTTCAAAGGGGTATACCATAGATCTTCATTTGCTTAAATGTTTGATTCTGAAAATGTAATTCTATTAATGGCTTCAGCTTTGTCACACATATTCTAATATTATTTTCAGAGCATTATAATGCTAAATATCCAAGAATTTTAAAAATTATTACTTGTTCTTTTTGTCTCTGAAATGGAAAAGCATTTCTGACTTTTAGACTTACTATGAACGAGGTTTCTCTTATTTATGAAAGCAGAGCTGGTGTCTGGTCATGTTTATTATAATTGTCATGGTGTTATTTAGAACATAAATGTTACTATGGAATACATTTCATGAGAAAGGGGATTCATCATTTAGATGTCACCCATATGCCATGTCTAGTAAATTGTGGATGCACTTGAACTTTGTGTTGAAACCAAAAAAGAAATTTGAATCATCAACTGGCTGTGGATGGATACATTCAAAGTGAAGAATTCTGGAGTTGTCTGACTTGGTCAGGGATAAGATTGCAGTCTTGCTAAATCCTCAGAGCTTTGACAATTTGCCACAATAAATGTTGGAAGTGCTCTGAAAATAAAAGAAGAAAGTAACTTAGATCCTGAGGAAGTTGGGAAAGAATTGCAGAGAGAGGCATTTGAGGATATCTTGAGGATGGATGATTAAGATTTCTCCAAGTTAAGAAAAACTGGCAAGGAAAACATTTGCAATAGTATGGAAGAGTGATAGGAGATGCAAGAGTATAGATTCCTTAAGAATATCATATTGGGGAAGAGAGTAATTAGACATTGTTGTCAGTTTAAAGGATAGTGAGGGTGACAGTTGATGCAAGTCTATACAGTTAGAGAAATTTATTAGGGAAGACAACCTTGTGAGACTTAACCTGAAATATAAACTTTTAACAAGAAAAATAAATCTTTTTCTTTTCTCTGATATTTAGATTGTATGATTGTTCATGTTTACTCTTTATTTGGGAGGGAAAAGTGATAAATATCCCTTATTTCTATACACTAGCCAATTATAATCTATTATAGTCTTTATAAAACAATCTACTAGTATTCATGGTAACTCAGAGAAAAGTGAAAGAAATATTTATTATATTCCCTTAACTTACTAAGGAAAACCTATTTTTGAAGTGTAAGTGAAACAATCGAAGAAGGTGAAAATATTATTCTACATTATCTAGCAGATTCACTTATTTCAAAATATCCACTTTTTTTCCTGCTTCTATACTGTGTTTTCATCTTCAGCACTCACATAACACACATACAAGCACAAAACCTATAAACTCATTTAATATTTCTTGTCTACCATCTTTAAAAAATAAGCAGATGGTCCAAGAAAATGATGACATTTTGTGGCTTTTCTGCTTCAGATTAGATTTGGCTCTTGGTTCAGAGCCAGTGTAGGGGAAGATAGTCAGTGCGACTTAATGAGAAACCTGGTGCATTTTGTTTCCATTGATGTTCATTTCTGTATCTTGTTTTGTTCTCTATATAGCTAGAAAATGTGAAATAGAAAGAAGATCTGTTCTGACAGCATTCATATGTTAATCTCACAATAATTGCTAGAAGTGGATTGGGTTCTAACTGGGTGCATGAAAGAAAAACATTGAATTTGTACTACTAAAAAGAATTATTTGGTCCATAGCATTGTGTTAGTTAGAAACATAAATGTTCTTGATGTAAGTCTTAGTGCAAAATTCCAAGGTCAGTCAAGAGAAATGTTATGTACAGACATTTCCATTTGAAAGGGGTTGTTAATGACAGTGGAGAACAAAGTCTTATAAATATTTTTCTTCCCATTTATTCATGCTGTTGTAAATACACCTTCATAAAAGCACACAACCAAATAAGAGCTTACATAGTAAATGCCATAAATTCTATTAATCTTCCACATGTGAAGATGTACCCTTTATTAAATCATATACATTGTTCTCTTATAATTAATCCAATACTCAGCAATGATAACAAATAGCACATTTCCAAAAATATCATCAGGAATATCCATACATTGTGTTGAACTATATCTGAAATGAGCCTATTTATTAGAATGAGACTATTTCTGTAACTGAAAAATTAGAAACCCATAAAACTGACAGCAGATATTGTCCAGAGCAGAGGGAATTCCCAGATACGCTCTTTTAAGGCAGTGATTGGTGAAAAATGGTGTTTCTCATCTGTGCTCCACCAAGTTAGACCCATTTAGCAACTGATTTTATGAGCACAAATTAATGGAAGACCTAATATGAATAAATATTTAAATAAACTGATAGCATCTGCTGGCAAGGAAATGAGTATTTATGTACAATATCCTGGGGGAGATGAATTGTGAAAATAACCGAGCAAATTTATAATATTTATCAGGCAGAGTAAGGTTTTCAAATTCAGATTTTTTTTAATTTATTTGAAAATCAGTTACACAGAGAGAGGAGAGGCAGAGAAATAAAGAGAGAGAGAGAGGGAGAGAGAAAGAGAGAGAGATGTCTTCCATCCGCTGGTTCACTCCCCAGTTGGCTGCAACAGCCAGAGCTGTGCCGATCTGAAGACAGGAGCCAGGAGCTTCTTCCGGGTCTTCCATGCAGGTGCAGGGGCCCAGGGACTTGGGCCATCTTCTACTGCTTTCTGAGGCCATAGCAGAGAGCTGGATAGGACAGCCAGGTCTCAAACCGGTGCCCATATGGGATGCCGGCGCTTCAGGCCAGGGCATTAACTTGCTGCGCCACAGTACCGGTCCCTCAAATTTTTTTAACTTCTTACGTGAATAACAATTCATATTTGAGATTGTTTAGCAAGAAATTAATTATAATTTGGGAAAATGATAAACTACATAAATTCTCAGTATAAGAATGTTTTGTCAAATAAATTAGATATACTCATAACAGAATATTTCATAGTCTTCAATAATGTTTAAAGGGATGTTTAATGGTATTAAAAAATGTTCACAATACAATGTTAAGTAAAAAATATAACACAAAACACTAATTTAATGTGTACTATATACATATGTATTTACAGTATATCTTGAATGATAGGAAATACTTCTATTCATAGTGCTTTATCTCTGGATAATAGAAGTATGGTGAAATTTAATTTTTTACTTATTATTTACTATATTTTTCAAATTATTTATTATTATGTATTTGAGAGGTAGAGGGACAGAGAAAGAGAAAAACAGACAGAAAGTGCTCCCATATGCTGGTTCAATCCTTAAAGACCTTCATCAACCAAGGTGGCCAGAGTGAGGAGCTGGGAACTCAGTCCAAATCTCCAATGTGAGTGACAAGAACCCAGTTTCCTGAACCAGTGTAGCTGCTCCCCAGGGTGTACAGCGGCAAGAAGCTCAAATCAGAATCCAGAGCTGGAACTTGGGCTCAGATACTCTGAATCTGCGAATCTGCACAGGCATCTTAACTGCTAGTCCAAACACCAGCCCTTATATTCTTAACAGTAAACATAAATTATTTTTATATTTTAAAGAAATGACAAATGGAATTTTAAATATAAAAATTTTTTTTTTTTTTTTGATAGGCAGAGTGGACAGTGAGAGAGAGAGACAGAGAGAGAAAGGTCTTCCTTTTGCCGTTGGTTCACCCTCCAATGGCCGCCGCTGCAGCCGGCGCACCGCGCTGATCCGATGGCAGGAGCCAGGATCCAGGTGCTTTTCCTGGTCTCCCATGGGGTGCACGGCCCAAGCACCTGGGCCATCCTCCACTGCACTCCCTGGCCATAGCAGAGAGCTGGCCTGGAAGAGGGGCAACCGGGCCAGTAAATATAAAAATTTTGATTGAACAGAATTACATGTCCAAAATACCCAAATAGTTCTTCCCTTATTATTTCTATTTCTTGTCTTTCTGAGAGTATGAAAATGTTCCCTAGGAAATAAACACTCAGATATCTTTCACATAATCTGATGTTAATAGTGTGTTTTCTAAGATAATATACTTTCTATTTTTATCTCAAAAGTTCCACAGTTTATCTCCATTTTAGTTTAAGATGTCCATATTGATATATAGTGCTCTTCCTTTTCCACTAGAACAAGATATATCTATCATTATATTTCCATATGATACCTATCTGGTCAATTTTTCATATTTATGAAATTCTTATTTAACTCGACTAAAT